CATGGATATTTCCCCACAAAGTCAGAGAACCAGAAGAGAAAATGAAAAAGATAACTTTTATAACTTTTGATTGATTCTCACTTCTTGATCTTTAACGCTATATCACACTTTTGATGATCGTGCCTTGTTGATGTGGCCTTATTGGCACCATATGATATCCTATATCATTGTTGGAGTTTGTTGATGCCACAAGTAATCCTATTGTGTTTGTGTTGGTCGTATGTGTGTGGGTTTGTCGTGTTATAATAAAAGTTTGTTCTCTCAGTTTGAGTTTCTATGTACAGACAAAAGATAACAACTTTTCAAACAAAAGACAATCAACGACACAATAACTAGAGTTTTAATCAGGTATGTGAAACAAAAGAACATCCAAAGACAGCATAATAACTAGAGTTGTAAAGCAAAAGATAAAACTTTGAAAAAAAACTTAAGTGATTTAGCTAAAAACCACACATTCATTTTTTAGAAGAGTTTATAACTCTTGAACTATCTCCATAAACTTCAAATACTCTGTTAGTAAATGGACTTATATAGACTCCATGTCCCCTAGGAATGACCTCTCTGCATGCTTGTGCTTGTGCTTGTCCAGGAGGACGCCCACGTCCACGGCCATGACCAGTTGCAGGTGGTCTTGTTGCTGCATCAGTTGCAATTGACAAAGATGGTCTTGTCGATGCCTCAGGACATGAAGATATAACATCAGGTGTGTTGATGGAAGATTGAGCCTGTGTTTTCTTTTGTCTCCTTGGTCTTTTTGGATTTGTTTCTCCTTCATCCTGTAATTTTAATTAATTCAGATACAAAGCTATCATATTAACATGAAGTGGAAATTCTGATAAGAAGCTATCATATAACTCACAGATATTTTAAATGTTCTTCCACGTTTACGTTTTGGACCTTCAACCACATGAGCTGCATTCTTACAAGTGATTTGGTTATGTCCAACCTGTTGGCAATTACCACATGTCATTGTTCTGCCATCACGAGTTACTCGGTAAGGTCTTGATGGTGACTCAGTGCTGCCTTAACCTTTTTTTTTCGTAGGACGTCCAGGCATTTTCTTGAAACCCGGAACTCCAATGGGATCTTTACCAGTCTTCTTCCAAAATGTTTCTCCATTTACTGGTTTTATGTTGTCCATGTAAGTCCCTTTCCAAACCTGAGTCTTGTAATAATAATCAACATAACTGCATAGAAACAATAACAGCTTCAGTAACGATTTAAGCAACATGATATAATAAAATGTATAACAACTTACTTAGTTGGATCTTGATTGCTGTAGTTGATGACCCGGACTGCATGTGAACATGGGATACCTGTGAGGTCCCATTCCCGACAAACACAAGTTTTCAGTCGAAGACTCACCTCGAAGCTGCAGCTATACAAACTTACTTCATACAAGTTATCAGTACTCTTGTATATGGCACAACGGTTGCTTGTTTCTCGGTTTGCTTCCAAAATAGCAGCTAATCCAGTAGACATTGGTTTGCCATAACCAACATTCGAGAAATGCGCATCATAGCTTGCCTCCTAATTGTTTCCAACATATTAATCGGAGGCAACTACCTGACTTTTTTAATTGTCCGGTTGAAGCTCTCAAATAAGTTGTTGCAGACGTTATCATATCGTGCTACATTGGAGAAGAAAGCACGAAACCAAGTGCTAGGATCAGCTTCTTTCAAGTCGTCATGTGCTTCTTTATCAAATACACGCAACTCATCCATCCTTGATTCAAACTCTGGAATTGTTAGACTATAAGCCACCCTCCAAAAGAAAAGTCTATGATCTTCATTGCCGTAAGTCTTTTTCCAATTAGCATACACATGCCTAGCACAGTTTCTATGCTCTGCATTTGGAAGAACTGTTGCTAAAGCAATTTCCAAACCCTGAAAAAAAAATTAATGAGACCAGTCAAGTTTGATATCCTCTTGCATACCCTGATACTCCCCAATATCAAACAATGAGACCATTCAGTTTTTGCATTTTTCATATCAAGAATACCACATTGGAAAGAGACGACACATATAACATATTCAAGGTTTTATAAGACCAAATATGTTCCATGTATGTATTCATATTCAATTGGTATATAAAGACGAAAATCAAAGAGATGTCCTTTTTCCCATCAAAAGAAACAAAAAGTAAGAAATGACGATGACAAAACCAAACAAAATTAAAATTTATAAGATTATACAACTATTCATTGCATTGATTTAAAATGAAACAGTGACCATATATATATCATGCTTCTTTGACGCATACAAAAGTTAAAAGACACAACATATACCGAAAGCAAAGGAAAATTACAAGTGGTCATGTATTAAGGTAATAAACATATCTTTTGTATGTCTGAAATGAAAGTAAAGCCAGTTCCTGAACCCAATCCCAAGTCCATTTGCAACTTTTTAACAAACCACTCCCACGAATCTTTGTTCTCTCCTCTAACTACAGCCTAAGCTATAGGATAAATCCTATTTTATGCATCTCTCCCTACAGCTACTAATATCTCTCCTTTTAATTCCCACTTCAAAAAGGCGCCATCTATTCCTATCAGAGGGTGACAATATTTCTTCTATGTTCTTCTTAGTGGTTCAAAGCACACATAGAAACTATCAAATACTTGTCTCCCATCCTTCTTGACAATTACAATTTATGTGCTGCAACTGTTGTTAGGTCGTTTTAACTTGGCCTCATAATCCCACAACTTTGTAAATTGTTGTTTCTGTGTTTCTAGGACCATGTCTAATGCAATCCCTCTTGTTTTTCTACACTTATATATCGAAACTGATACATTGTAATGATGCATCAACTCATCTTTGATATATGTACTTCTTATTTCAGGTTTTCTTCTAGCTTCTTCTTTGAACAGTTTGGCGATATATAGTACCTTGTTTCAACATCCGAAATCTTCCTGTTGGCAAATGGTAATGGATGTCCTCATATACTTTAACTATCCACTTGCAGGTTGGTTTCTCAACGGAACAATATATCCTCCACTTACAATTCTCATGGGTACATACAGCTGCTTGTTTTGTTGACTCCCATCTATTAAGCTTGACGTCAAACTGTGTCTTCAAGACATACCTTAGCAACTGATCTCTGAACTCATCCCCATTATTAAACGTTTGCATTAGCCACAAATATGGAGGCTTATCATAGTCAGCACGGCTTCTATGTGAGGTTGCTTTCTTTTTTCTTTTTGTTTTCTCTATTTTCTTTGTGAAAATTTGCCCATTCCTCATTTCTAACAACCGGAGAATCTGGATACCCATCTCCTCGAACAAGTATCTCATCTTATCGCTTTCACTTTCTTCAGCAGGAACAAGGTTTGGTTGTGTACACTCGGTCTGTGCAGCCTGTGCAAACAGATTTTGGAATCGAACATCTTCAGCTTCTTGTCCCAAAATCTGTTCTTCATCCTCAGATTGATGGCCATTTGCAGCTTTTTCTTGCTCTTCTCTAATCTCAATCTCATTTGTTTCTTCATCACTAACTTCTTGTCTAATTTCATCGTCACTCTTCTCTCCATCCTCACTCTTATCTTCATCAGCATTCTGACCATAGACAATATAGAAATCAACTTCACCAACACCTTTAGTTTCTTCACACAACTTCCTAATTTCAGCATCTTTTTCTTTGTATATCGGCCTAGCCGTATATATATCTTCGTTGACTACTTTATACTAAACCTGCTCCACCTTACTCTTGATTCCCCTGTCTATTATGAAATCCTCGAAAATTGACCATGTAAGAAGATCCGGGTCGACAAAAAAATCTCTAACATAAACTCCACCAGATTATGATAACTTCTCTTTTTCGTATGACATTGAACCGCCATAGCCAATGTGCATCTTCAATGCAACATCGATGTCACTGTAAACACATAAAAAGGGCTGTGAGTGATTTTCAGGACCAAATAATTTTATGATTCACAGAACCAACACGACAATCACGATGGCTTCCACCTCTTACATCATCTTAGTAAGTTGTTGTTCTTCTGAAGATTACACTCTTACGGCGAACATTCTGATAGCGAGAAGAAGGTGATTTGTTTTTCTTTTTTTTTTGGTCGGTCAAGAAGGTGATTTGTTTTATAAACATCAATTGCTCTCTTTCTTAGAAATTAGGGTCTTTTTATTTGGAGAGAGTAAACTAATCGACATCGTTTAAGATAATGGTTAGTTTATTAACCATGATTTAACACTAACGATAAAATTAATGAATAATTTATGGTGTTAACAGTATCATTAAAGGTGTTAACGAGCCAAACTAAAATAGGTACACGGGTTATAGTTGGTGTTTTACAGAAATTTTTAAAAAACAAGGTTTGTGTATTTTTCAGTTGCTCTAAAAACCTGTGTATTATGTTGAAAATAATAATTAAAGTTGTATATTAATATGGAATTTTCCCTAAAATTGTGTATAACATTTTTATTAGTAACTTTTTGTACTAAAAGATAATTATATAATAATAATATGATATTACTATTTTCTTACTTTTAATTTAATAAAAAAATAAAATAAAAATATTATATTTAAAAGTTAAAATGATTATATTTATGTTTTATAAATCGGATTTATAATCATAAAATCTAAAACTTGTTATAAAAAAAAAATATTTATAATTGTTTGGTATAAACCGAATAAACCAAAAATATATACTAGTATATAAAGTGAACCAAACCAAATTATAAATAGTTTTAATATGGTAAATTTTTATACAATAAAAATATCAAAAGACACGAAAAAACTAAACTGAAACCATACCAAAATCTGGATTGTACAACACTGATTATTTCTTTATTCTGTCACAAGTTAATCTTTTTATATTATTTAAAACTATGTCCAAAATTCTACTTTAGGTTAACTGCCATTTTTTTTTATTCGCCGCGGTAAAACATCAATGAAACGGTTGAATTCGTTGAAACCCCAAGAACAATAAAAGAACGCGTTTAAATTACTTTTGACTTTAATTTATCGAAAAAGGTTACAACTTTTGCCGTAATTCTCTTCCTACGACAGATGCTCTGTCTCAGTCTCTTTGTTTCTATAATTCATCCTCCTTTCTTTCTTCGAAGCTACTTCTCTTGCTTTCCTGTTTGATCCCTTAATCGAAGATTAGATCCTGAAATTGAGGTGTGTGAGAGAAAGAGAGAGAGAGAACAGAGTAATAATGGCAAACAGAGATGTGGAGACAGGAGAGAAGCAGAACAGAGGAACCAACAGCAACAACAACTATTTCTATGACGAAAGCTCCATAGAAACTCATTGGACTTCTTGGCTGGTTCCGGCCATCGTTGTGGCGAATCTCGCTGTCTTTATCGCCGTTATGTTCGTTAACGATTGTCCTAAGAAGATCAACGGACCAAACAAAGCTTGCGTCGCTAGATTCCTCGGAAGATTCTCTTTTCAGCCACTTAGAGAGAATCCTCTCTTTGGCCCATCTTCCTCCACGTAAGTTTAGCTCCTGATTTCACGATTTGGGTTCACTCGAAATTCAAGTTTACTCTTCTGGGTTCCTCAAAAGTCTCAATCTTTTTTGGTTTCTAATTCGCAATTGATTCTGATCTCTCTGCTCTGTAAATGTCTTTGAAGCTGAGCTTTAAGCTTGCTAAGACTTCTCTGTTTTGGTTAAATTGGTTGTAATTAGGAATTGAGAATTTCAATAATCGTTCTCTGTTAGATTTATGTGATTCGGTTTTGGTCTTATTATTTGTATCAGATTGGAGAAAATGGGAGCAATGGAATGGAGGAAAGTAGTACATGAGCATCAAGGATGGAGACTCATCACTTGTATGTGGCTACACGCTGGTATCATTCATCTTCTTACCAATATGTTGAGTTTGATCTTCATCGGTATCCGCCTTGAGCAGCAATTTGGCTTCAGTAAGTAACCGCTTGCCTTTTTTACTCTTTTAGTAATCATCTCCAAGTGAAAACATTTGATCTTTTGATTCCGTACAGTAAGAGTTGGACTTATCTACTTAATCTCTGGTCTCGGTGGAAGCATACTCTCGTCTCTTTTCCTTCAAGAAAGTATCTCTGTTGGTGCCTCGGGTGCTCTCTTTGGACTTCTTGGAGCTATGTTATCTGAACTTCTCACTAATTGGACTATGTATGCCAACAAGGTACTTATGTCTCCGCTAAAGCCGGTTTAGACCAGAACTTAGCTTTGGTTTTCATCGGTTTTGTACATTCTTTTTGCAGGCGGCTGCTCTCTTCACACTCCTATTCATCATAGCAATCAACTTAGGACTAGGCCTGCTTCCTCGTGTTGACAATTTCGCACATATTGGAGGGTTTATTACCGGGTTTTGCCTCGGGTTTATCCTCCTTGTCCGGCCACAGTACGGTTGGGAACGTTCCCGCACCAACGCTTCCCTTACCAGACGCAAGTATAGCATGTACCAGTACGTGCTGTTCATAGTCGCAGCGGTTGTACTTGTGGTTGGGTTAACTGTTGGATCAGTGATGCTTTTCAAAGGAGAGAATGGGAACAAACATTGCAAATGGTGTCATCGCCTTAGCTGTTTCCCTACTTCTAAATGGACATGTTAATCATCATCGTCATACTTTAAAAAGCTTCTTATATGTGTTCTTGTGACTTATAATCTCTTTGTTCCTTTTTGCCTTTTGACCTCTCTACCTTTTTATAACATACATGTACATTACTAAATTTGTCTTGTGTAAAAAGACTGTTTTACATTTGAAAATCATTACTCTTAAAATAAATGAAAGGTATTGTTTGATTGAAGGTACTTAATCTCAACCAGTGTTTCATTATATTACTTGATCTGTATACAATAGTATTCTTTACATTGTCATAAAACATCAAAAAAAAGTTTGTTCATCAGAATTCTCTTAACTTTCTCTAGATCTCTTTCCTCTTGAGTCTAACATGATACCCATTTGGAAATTGCAGTCCAGGAGTTCGAATTATATTTCCTCCACTGATTTCCTCCCATCTGATAGATTCAGGATTATAAAAAAATAAATCAATAAGCATTGTTCTCTTTTTAAATCAACAAATGAACAAAGAATAGGTTATAAAAAGATTCTTGAACCTGTATTTTGTGACCAAACTATGTAGGAAAACTGCCATCTGAACTTTAGTGAAGTCAGTTCCAACACAGAATCTCATCCCGCCACCAAACGCCAAGAAGTTCTTCGATGCATTAGTTGATTCTGATCCCTGTGTTTCACTAGCTTGATTAGTTTTGTTTCAAAAAAAAAATTACTGGTAACTTGGAGTACAAGTTATGTCAAAGACTATATATGATGAACTTACCTCCCATCTAGATGGATTAAAGACAAGAGGATCTTCATACTTGTCTGGATTCAAATGTACAGCTGGAGGACAGACCATCACCGCCCAACCGGCTGGAATTGTATAATCTGCAGTACCATTTACAACGTGATTATCAGATAACATAAATTAAAAAAAAGTTGAATCAATATAAATGGTGAATTGGTTTTTTTGAGATCAATACTTTTATATTGGATATCTCTCAAGGCTTTTCTGAAGATTGCAGGAACTATATTCGCTAGTCTCGCTGTTTCGTTTATGAACTGCATTTAGTATTTTAACATTTTGTTAGTTTAGATTAATACATAAGTTTCAGATGATTAAATTTTTGTAACTTAAATTGTTTAATACATGATTAAATTGTTGTAACTTACCTGAAATGTGTAGGTCATTGATTTATATTCTTTCCATGTAAGTCCAGAGTCAGCATCTTCACGGTTTCTCAGTATTGCCTCATGCTCTTCCTGATAAAGATGAAAATGTTTTTTTTGGTAATGATCAGAAGCTGGTTAGGTTAGATAGAGAGATGGTTTTTTTTTAATAATTTTACTGACCGTTAGACGTTTTAGTACTAAAGGGTCATCTGATAGGAACTTGATGGCTAAAGTTAAAGCGAGAGAAGTTGTTTCAAAGCTGGCGAAAAGCAAGACAAACATCAAGTCTAGTGCAATTTCTTCTGTCAGAATTGTCCCTTCTTTTTTAAGCTCTTCTATGACATAATCGAAGAAGTCACTCGGGTTCTCTCTTGGCTTCTCTCTTGGCTTCTCACGCCTCTCCTGAAGCATATTCCTCAACATTTTCATCGCTCTTTCTCTACCCTACAAAAACCAAAATAAGCATGAGTGCTACTGCTATATCAAAGAGAGCCAAAAAGAGATCAGGAGTAATGATAACCTTTAAGCACTTGTGATAAGCTGTCCCTGGGATGTTAAAAGGGAACGAGATCAACCCCCGTATGAAAGCAACAAAGTTTTCCCTTAGATTCTCTGAGGACTTCTCTGGATCATGACTGATCAACTTTTTCGAGGTCAGATCAAATATCATCTGATAATGAAAGTGATTTTTAGCAAGTAAGAAACTAGGAATGGTTTAAACAGATGTGGAAAGTATGTTCTTGAAACTCACGCTTGCAGTTGAATCTTTTAGCTCAACTGAATCTTGTTTTGACCAGAGCTCTAACTTCTTACATGCACTTTTTTCAATTTCAGGAAGCATCTTCTTGAGACTTTCATGGCCAAAGAGATTTAACACCATGTGCTTGAGGTACTTATACATGAACCCGTGCAATGATCCCACATTCTGTTTTCCAAAGATCTCAGTGAAAGTATCAGGATACCAACTCTGGAAACAGAGACCTTCTTGTTGAAACACAAAATTACTCAGATCAGAGTCGGTTGATACAATTACTGGTCTCCCCACTAGGTTGGTCTTAAAGATTGGTCCATACCTGTACGTAAGTAACCAAATAATAAGATTAAACTTTGGTGTCTATTAATATACTACACTGATTATAATATAAAACTCTTCACTCACTTCTTAACCCTCTCTTTGATAAATTGTGAAATGTCTGAAGTTGTGTTAGGTTTGAAGAATTGATACGTCTCTCCAAGAAGTGGCAAACCCATGGAACCAGGTGGAAGCTTCCCTCTGCATTTAGGGTTACTCCATTTGTAAACCCAAGCTGTGATGGTTATCAAAAGCAGAGAAGCCCATATGCACAATGGCCACAACATCATACTGCAAGAGGATTGTAAGAATGTTTTTGTTGTTGATATTTTTTCAGCTATGAAAACTCTTTTTCTTTTTGTTTTCTTATGTGTTTGTCAGCTTGTGTAAGTTGACAAAAAAATGAAAACGTGCAGAGAAAAAAGACAAAGAAGAGAAGAGAAGCTAAACTGCTGGCATGTTTTGTCAACTAAACCATATGATGAGACCTTAAATAGAGGCAAGTCCTTACACATCTCTGTTATTAAATAATAATAATGCACTTTTAAGTAGTTGCAGAACGGAATAAAAATAATCATTAAAAACCCAATCTGTTTTAGAAACTGCCAACTTTTAAAGAAGTTAAAACTCAGTAACAAGGGCATGAAGGTTCCTCTAATAGTTTTTTTCTTTCAAGTGTATTGTGTCTCATTGACCATTATGGCATTAAAAACTAGACTGAACATAAGGCAAGATTCCAGCTTCAATTTAGGCTTTCTTGATCAAAATAGATATTATTAAATTTTGAAACTTGAACTTAAGAGTGTTAATTAAGCACACACAAAAAGAATTCCCACTTTTTCATTGTTGACTTCATAATTGCTTCTTCCTCTTTCCATATCTATGCTATATATTCCAATATCTAATGCAATCTTTGACATCAAAGAAGCAAACTAAACTCACAAATAAAAGTATTTTAGTTTGGTCACATTCATGCTTAGTATCTTTTGTTTAGATCTTGTTGTCAAGTGTTTTGTCATATAATCATTATCTTCATAATAGTTTTAAGACTCAAGATCTAAAAGCAATAATTCATACATCAGCTTTCAAATCCTTATAACCACTGTATCTTGCATATCCTCTATTCAGAATATAACCTGAAGAGATAGATCATAGAGTAACTACTTACCTATCTGTAACCTTTGGCTCAAGAATTCTGCAACAAATCAGGCAATAACTAGGTATGTCACTATGAAAACTCTCCGTTAGTAGTCGTCGTTTACATTGGAATGATTAATTTTGCGTTTGAGTGTCACATAATTTGGTGACAAAATGTGTTTTCCGTTTCACTAATCTTGAGGTCAAAAAGAGGTTAAGACTTAAAGGGGTGGTTAAGACAAAACCTAATAGCCTAAGAGAAGGGCTAGTAAAACATGATTAACAAATTTCGAATAATTTGTATTATTGTTTGAGTAGTTTCAGAGCATGGTTCGTATTTTGTACATGAAGTCCAGTTTCTCTATATATTTTCATAGACTATTTAGAAAAAATGAGAAAACATAGACTGCTTATTAGAATAGCCTGTACCGGAACCAAATAATCATTTGTAGATTATTTAAAAATATAAACTGCTTATTAGAATAGAACCAAATATTCATTTGCAGATTATTATCGGATAAATCGCATAAATAACTCTAAAATTAGAATTTAATAACACTTTAAACCTTAATTTTTTTCGATTATTACTTTTTAACCTTCAAAATGGCATTTATATCTTACAGTTGTACAGATAAAACGATAATTTTTCGTTTTTTTAAAAAAAATTATTAATTAATAAAATAAATATAAAAGTAAAAAAAGAAAAATTAAAATTAAATAAAAGCAGAAAAATAAATAAAAGTTCATTAAATTAATAAAAACTAATAAAAATTAGAAATTAAATAAAAAAATCAGAAAATTAAATAAAATTGAATAAAATTTCAGAAATTCAAAAATAGAAAATTCAAAATACTTTTTTAAAAAATAAAAATATTTGTAAAAGTATTTACAAGATTTTTTAAGCCAACAATGACAACTAAAGATTCAAACATATCACTGTTGACAATGATGATTTCTCACATAACCATTAACTGTGATGGTTTTCACATATCTTCAACAAAGTTTCCGACGTCTTTGTTGTAAATGACGGTAGATATGTCAATAACGACATTTCTAACAGATGGATTGTTAATAGTTATGTGAAAAATAATCATCATCAACAATGAAAAGTTTGAAATTCTTATTGTCATTGTCAGTATTTTTATTAAAATATAATCGTATAAATTTATTAGAAATATTTTATTTTATTTTTGAAATTTTAATTTATTTTTTATTTTTAAACATATTTAATTTCTTGATTTTTATTTAATTTAGTTTCTAAAATTTTATTTAGCTTTCTAATTTTTATTTACTTTTTATTTACTTATTAATTAATAATTATTTTTTTAAGAAAAAAATTCATATATCATCATTTTTATATGTACAACCAAAGCCGGCTGAAGATTAGGGGCAGCAATACACCTGCCTGGGCCCATTTTCTTTAAGCGATCTTTATTATTTTGTTTACTCCTTTTTTTTGTTTCTCTCTACACATGTGAAAAAAAGCAGATCATTCTTCTCATGTTGATTTGAATCATATTTTTCTGAATTGAGAATGCTGCAAACTACTTGGTGTATCTATACAACCTAGGACGACCTAGTGAAGTTCTAGAATGTTGAAAGTCTGGATTGTTATCCAAATGTTTCAATTACTTTTACAATGTTTTTGACTACACCTGTGACTGTAGCCTCAGCAGAGAGAACATTTTCAAAATTAAAGTTGTCGAAGAATTATTTATAATCTTCAATATCTCAAGAAAGATTGAATGGCTTAGCTACTTCATGTATTGAAATAATATCTTAGAAAGCATTGAGTTTGAAATTTTTATATACATGATTCTGCATCGAGTAAAGTTCAAAAACTGTTTCTTGTAATTGCA